CACCCCCCGCTGAGACGGGGGCCCCCAGCCACAGCATCACGATGGAGGCAGGCCGCACGTAATAAACCCAGGAGGCCAGAGGACACCCTTGGATCCGGCCGTCAGGTAGCACAGCTCTTGTCCTGAGCAGCCCCCCAAAGCACGGTCACTGAATCCAAACAGCCTGCCGGGGACATCGCCCGGCTGGGACCACCCTGCCCACCGTGTCGGGGGCAACGCGGCTGGCAGGGGCCAAAGCCGCGCCAGGGAATGTGCCAACAGCTCCGGAGGGCTCAGGGCTGGGCGCTGGCGCTGTTCGAGCTCCGGGCTGAGTACCATTAATCCCCGTGTTCAGTGCTCCTTTGCAACCGCCATAAAACATTAACATCCCCCTTCAGTGCGAATGTAAATAGGCTGCACGTGATGCGGGACAGTAGGAAACACCCTGAAATTTTATGAGGACATTGAAACTGCTGGGTATTTTTATTATATCCCATTAAACATGCCATCACAAACATTTTTTCTAATACAAAAATTACACACACCCCCCAATTAGGATCATAACTTCCCACTCCACACAGTGGTGTGATTTCTAGATTTTTTTTAAAAGATAGGAAAGAGGTTTTCCCCGCAAATGACTCAAGAGGCTAATCCCCAAATCTACATCTCACAATGTTACTAAATTACCTTAAAAATGACACTTCCACTGAAGTACAACTTAATGAAAGTCTGAAACAATTTATTTCAGAAGGCAATACTGCAATAAATGTAATACATAATTACATGAATGCCCCTCCTGGAACCTATTTATCTCTGTTTGCTATTTATAAAGATAACTTTCTCCCATGTAAAATCACTTAGTGACAAAGTTACATAGTATACACTTGGAAATAACAAGCTAGATGACAGTGTTTAACAACCAAAACGTATACATTAGTGTGATCATTTAAATGAGGAAGGCAGACATTTGCTGCTACTGAAAACTGGGAGATCGCTTTTTTTGATGCGCAAAGCTATTACAACATCGCAGTTCTTCCACCAATATTTCTGTAAGAGTAACACACAGGATGTACAACAGATTATAAATATGCTAATTGCGTTTCTTAACGTCATAGGAGAGTGCTTGCCATCTTTTATACGGCTTCAAAACCAAGAGGCAGAGAAAGCCAGCAAAGCAGGCGCAGCAGAGCACCGCTGCAGAGCCTCTGCTGAAGCAAACTTTCCACAGCACGACCGTAACACAGCTGCTTGCGTGATGTGCAGAGGCCGGCTGCTTCTACAAACACAGCAAACGATCCAGTGCTTATTTTAACAGCATCGTTATTTTAGAGGAGAACCCTATACTAAGCTCACAAATAGGCAGTTACGTTAGCCGGAGGATTATTTTGGAGAAGCATCTTATAGAAGCTGCTTTCCCCAGTCACACAATAGTACCACCACTGCAGATAAAGACTCTTTGTAAGCGACAGATACAACGGTAAGCACAGCGCTAGTAATGCTAATTGTCAGTTGAAACGCAGTATCAAAAAAAGGCAAATATTTGCATTCTTCAAAGAGGAGCTTGGACTGAACCCACAGAAAAGTGTCAATAACATCAAAATATGCAACTTTGCAGGTCAGAACTCAGAGTTCTGGCCCTTGCTTTTGACAAGCACAAAAAACCGTGGAAACCCATCAAGCTTTTAGAGATTCAGACACAGCTAATTGCGCTAGACATGCTAACCCATCTGCCTTCCAGAAGGGCTACGTGCTACAACGGCTTCCCAAGCTGCTGTCACATCAACCCACCGATGGAGTGGCCTGCATGGCAGCGTATCGAACGGCACAGGCTCACAGCCTTCACAGGATCCCGCCGAACGCATCCCTGACCTAAACACCTATTCTAACGGCCTCCTTCCCGCACACACCTTATGCAAACTCCTTAACAAAAGACAACCGGCACACAAACAGTAGATACGACAAAAGCACCATGTAAACGCTCTATTCCTTATTCTCTATTTTTAACATTAAGGTACAATGTTAAGAAAAGCCTTCTCAATTTCTTCTTGAAGAACTTCTGATCACACCGCCTGCATGTTCCCTTTTTTTCACCCGGATCATAAAGCTGCAAGCCACAAACCTTTATTACTACTTTAAGAGTACTCCAAATACCTTGTCTTTTCTTACGGTCACCAGAATGCCTATCCAGCAACAATCACCAGTCTGGAATTAATGAATCCAAGGTTATGAAACAGTGGGAAACTTCACAAGCAAGCAGCTGAAAAGGGAAAATTCCCTTACTTTCCATGTATCCAAGCACCACTGGATGAATCCTCACACAACAATTTTTTCCTAGCAGCAGCTGAATTTTAAACCTTTCCACTACAGAAGGGCTGTCCTTTGCACAGTTTGGTTACTCAAAGCGTGAGCACCAACATCCTTTTTTGACTGTCTCTAACAACAGATGGCTACTGGATTCCACTTTTAACTATAAGGAAGGAAACTAAAGGGACGTTCCGCTTTTGTAGCATCTCTGGAAGTGTTCACCAGACATATATCCTTTAAAAAAAACAAAACCAAAACCCTCTAGACAAACACCACATTTGGCTTTTCTTAGAAAGATCGTAACTTCTTGCTGCACATTATAAAATGTAGAATTATTTTCTAGCATTCTGAGTTTGCAGCTTTTACCCCAATTGTTTAGCAGCGATATATGTCACCTCCTTTGAATCGACAGACTTACAGCGTCAGAGATATCATGCCATGAGCTGCCCCGTAACAGCACAAACGTGTTACAACGCCTGTCTGCAGGGGGAACCGTGAAGTCCTACATTTATTACGCCTTGATAACTTCCATTCCAGTTTAAGACGCTCCCTCCAAAGGCAAACTCTTCAAAGTGAATTTAGAGCTCGAACAATCACGCTCCGATGTTCCGGGCTATTGCCTCGCTACCAGTAACAGCGACAGGCAGCAGTTCGCAATTAAAATTTTGGCTGATGAGGCATAAACCCGAGCAGAATCCAGTTCCCCCTCCCGTGCAGCTGCTGGAGCGGGAAGAACGGCGCTTCCT